AGAGTGTGAGGCAGAGGAGGAAAAAGAGAGAGGTTGGGGCGTGAGTGTGTGAGGCAGATGAGGAAAGAAAGGCGGTGGGCGGTAGCTTGGGCACTGAGAGACAGACATGGGAGAGTAGAATTTGAGAGATAGAGAGAGACGTACGTATAGGGGGTAGATGTATTTCAAGTGAGATAGGTCTTTCGGAGTCCTAGAATGAGAGATCACTTTGAAATTGTTAGGCGGAATCTGTATGTGATAAAGAGAGGAGTCTGAGAAAGAGAGGCATATAAGAGAGAGAGAGAGTAACAGATAAAACTTTAGAATTGAATCTTTTATATTGAGATTATGCTGTTCGGGTAAATTTAAATTTATTTATATTTTATTTTAAAACGATTTGAATATATTTTTGTCTTTTAATTTAAAATTTCATTCTATTTTATTATATAAATAATTCAAATTTGTGTCATAAATGAAAAGAGGTCATTGAATTAATAAGTCGCATTTAAAAATTGAAGACACCCACTTATCTGATGATTACCCTTTGAGATATAAATTTGGGTTATAAGTCTGGTTTAAGCTATATTTTCCTTACAATTAACCCATAATGCAAGCGCTGACGCAACGTGAAAGCATAAAGGAGCCTGGTCAACCCTGACAGTTGACACCGCCCCCCTTTCTCCTCCTCTCCCTCTTCGCCCTTTTCATCGTCTTCTTTAAATACTAGCCCAACTCAGCAGGATCTTCCATCGAGTTCATCTAATTCCAGTGGCAGTCATCATGGCTCAGGTATTCGTTTATATTATCTTTTCCTTTTCAATTATGATCTTTTCTAGCAAAATTAGGTTTATATTTACCTATTGTTACCGATGCTGAATAGGAATTGTGATTGGGGGGAAAATCTAATGGTTATTTTAGCTGAAAATTTGACAGTTTATATAGATTTGTGATAAAAAAATCTGAGGATTATGTGGAATGGGAAAACCCATGTCTGGATTAGGACCGTCGTGCTGGTTTGCTAATGCCTGTTTCCGAGCTATATTCGTAATCTTATATTTTAACCATTATTTTAATTTCATATTTCTCGAATTTCACGTAATCCTAAAGCTTTGTGTGCTGAGGATTCTGTTTGGTAAAGAATAATAATGAATTTGTGAACACATGGCATCGAATTGTACTGTTAGTAATTGATAGGCTAGTATGTGTTGTAGATTTTTGTTTTGTGTCCTAAGTTGTTCTCTGGGATCTGTAGTGAATGCATTTGTGAATGAAGTTTGATTACTCAGTTTGGTCTCCATTAGTTTCTGGTGCTGAGAGTGAGTATACAAGGCTAACCTTTTGACTCCGGCTCCCTCAAAGCGTATTTGTTGATGCCGTTGCATTTCAAAAAGTAACATGGTGTGTGTGCGTGTGTTCACATGCATTCTTGTGAAATTAAGCTAAATTAGCTGGGATTATGAAGTATACTCATCATCTTTCTTTTCACTGAAATTGCAAAGGTTGTATTTGAAAAATTGTTTATGTATTGTTTGGTTATGCATTGGTCTATGTGGACCCTCCTTAGAGGTATATGTTACTTAGAAGGAACACATGGTTTAGATTTATAGCTTCTTATGTTATATGCTTGGTATTTGGATTGGGAAGGGTATCTAAGCCTCAAACAATTGCTTGGTTTTTTAGCCTCGCTCCTCGTGAGAGGTTGTTTAAAATTTAATATTGTAAAAGAAACTTGTATCTTAGCTGAATACCTTAATATAGTGCTATACCCTCTTTTTTATTGTTCTTCAAAGGTAAAAAGTAATCCAATCACATCTCTCTCTCTCTCTCTCTCTCTCTCTCTATGTTTGCATGTGTGCAACATCATTCGTATGCAAGTGCATGAAGGATGGAAGTTGGTGATATTCTCTAGCATTATGGATTGCAATGCTTCATTGAGATAATTAGTTCCTTGATCTTTGCCTTTTATGTATCAGTTTTTTTCTGCATGCAGACTGTTGTCCTCAATGTTGGCATGTCATGCGAAGGCTGTGTTGGGGCCGTGAAGAGGGTTTTAGGAAAAATGGAAGGTTTGTGAGCATTTGTGTTGTATCTTGTGTTCAGTGTTTCTAACATATGATGGCTTACTAGCATCAGACAACTTGTGATTTACAACGCTATCTCTACACAGTAAATTTTTTTTCCACCTATTTTTAATTATTTTCTCAGATGCTATAGTACGATATAGCTATAAGATTTGTAATAAGGCCACATGCTAGTATGCCTTAGCTGATATGTGTCCCTTATTATAGTTGAAACTTTGTGTTTTTGCTAATTAGGTTCACATTCTCATCCAGTATATACATGAAAAGACCGCACACTACTGTACCACAATACCATGTTGAATATTTTATAGAGATAAGTATACATTTCATGAAAAAGACATTATGCATGTGGAGATATCACACCTGTGAATGCACTAGTATATATTGGACATCATGATGGAGGTCTCTATCTCTTCACATGAAGTGTATATTTTTCTCTATAATGTATTCAACGTGGTAGTGTAGTACAGCAGGTATCTACATCTGGCAGTCTAAAAAGAGTAGCAGCAGCATCCATTAACTATGAAACATAATCTGAATTAGAAGACTAATGGGTCAACTGACCAAATAGGCCAATCCAACTTGTACAAGTAGAGCCTTGTACATAGAGTGATGTGTGTATAATGTGTGATTTTGGTTGATTATTTAAAGATCTTCCATTTATTATCCTAAGCTTTTCATTTGGGCTGCATCTGCAATGGGGGAACAATAAGTCCTTGTTTCTGCCCCTGCTTGGGGTTTGGTGATAGTTTCACTTTTCAAATACCCATATATAAAACATTTGGTAACAGAGACCCAGCTTTTTACTTACTCGTTTAGCTGAACTGTATTGTAGTATTGGAGCTTAAGTGGTTTCCGTTGACAACTAGTGATGGTTTTGGAAAATGTTTGTGGGTATATTTCATATAGTGACATAGAAATTTGGACATAGGGTTTTGGTTGAAGGCTAAATTATGATTTTACATTCGCTCTACAAATGAGAGATTGTAAAACTCAAGTAGTAATAACCATTAAGTATTAGCACTCTGAGTGGTTGAAAATGGATTTACATACATGCACACTATCACATTAGTTAATTTTCTCATCAGCTCCTGCTGGGGAATCATCACTGTGATATGGTTTTGTTAATCCGAGTTGTTGCATCCCTTTTGAACCATCCTCAGGTGTAGAATCGTTTGACATTGATTTGAAGGAGCAGAAAGTTACAGTGAAAGGCAACGTTCAGCCTGAAGCAGTTCTCCAGACTGTTTCTAAGACTGGGAAGAAGACTTCCTTTTGGGAAGCAGAAGCCAAGTCCACCGAGGCTGTTGCTTAACACACTTCTCTTAATTGCTTTATGGATTGAAGTGCATTTCACGGGTTTAGATTGGTGACTTTATTATGAATATGCCGTGGCTACGTTGTGTTTGGCAAGTCTGTAAGCTACAATATGTTATTTCCTGTGCCCTTTAATGAACAGAAAGTGATTGTTTTACTACTAAATATGTATAGAAAATGTATTCCTTGGTAATTTCTTCTACAATGATATATTACCCATTTGCTTATGCCGGTAGCAGAAAGCAAAGAAAATAAAGGTTTAAGGTTTCACTAAGGTATAGGAGGAGGGACGGAAAAGGTTGCTAGAGTAAAACAAGTTTAGAATCAAGGACAACACTAGGGTCCAGATACCAAAAGTTAATATTTTTTAGGATTTAATTATCACTTTTAAAGTTGAAACTACAACTGCTTGAGTTAATTCATTTCATTGTAGTATCCAATAAATTTAGGACATGTGTACACATCATGAGGAGACAAATGATAAGAGTTTATACTTTACATGGTAATGGAGCCCAACAGGATGTAGCTGGAACGGGCAAGAACCACAGTTCCGTGACAACAACCAGTGCTGTGGCACGCACCACAGTTCCATGACAGCCCTATGTTGCGGCAGGCACACAGCGACAGCACCTTAGTGTCGCAGCATGCGCCTAGTGCTGTAAAAAGGCGGGATACATCCTTATCACATTGAAAGTAGCAAAATGGACCCTTGACTAAAGACGGACAAAAGTGGCAACGCAGAGGTCTGGGGGCAATATTGGTGTGACGGGCTTCCCCCACTGCGAAAACATGACACAAAACTGGGATTGTACATTTGACAGAATTGGTGTGCTCCACTTATTGGACACAATTGTTCGACTGGCCCACTAGACTAAGTGGAGGGATCCCCACTTAGAGACAAGGCAATATGACTCTCCTCGAGGGATAATTGAAAAACGAGGGCGGACGAGCATGATTGTCAACATTAGCCTAGGGTAAGATCTCAATGATTTAGTTTGCTTGAGTAGGGCTCTCAGTGTATGACTCATTATCCACTAGGATGATGTGTTGACTGGAATCCAGAGGGACTCCTAAAATAGCTAGAGTTAATGGTCTTGATCAACATATGTAATAATAGGACATATGGATTGGTGACTGAAGAATCGAAACTATATGAGTTTCCTCTATTGTGTACTTAGACAAAAGTCTCGAGAAAGGGATTGAGAAAAGGAAGGCAAGATCCCACGTAGGAGTGTGGTAAGGGCATCACGTACATGACCTTGTCAAGGTCATGGTCTCGCCATAATCAGTCATGATCATTAACCTTGGGAGACCTTTTTTGTATCGGCTATCACACTCATTGAGAGCCTCGTCTAAGCCGTGTTTGGGAAAACGTTACATCTTCCTAGTAAATGTTGGGGCACGGGGCTCACGATTAGCAACTACTAACATCGATACAATCGAGGCAGTTATGAGTTGGTACGAATGTTAGAGGGCAGCCTGGGCATTACTTGTCCACTTTAAGAGTGAGATTTTGACTTGGTTGGTGAGAGCATTTACTCGACCAACCCATTGCCCAACTAGTTAGTTCATTCATTAATAGACTACTTGAGTTCTTTCCATTTCATCCACTTATCTTACTTATCTCCTTTAATTACCCTCGTAAAAACATGTGTGTCAGCCTCTATTGGACTAGACTGGACAGTTTGTTGAACTGGATTGTTGATTGGACAAAAAAAAATTTCAACTAATCGTCGATTACCGTGACAATCAAAAAGTCACATTTCAATCAATAGCCAAGAATACATCAATTAAAAAAATAAATTTGGTAACACATACCACTGATGTTGTAATTATTTTCATAAAGAATTCATTCAAATTATAAATATTTCCATAAAAGTGGTAAATAAAAGTGGCAATTATTATTATTTTTTAGAATATATCAAAATTATTATTCAAAATATATCAAATTTATTATTTTTTTTTTGTGATCTATCGCAAGTTTGAAGTAGTCTCCCCCAAATTTTTTTGAAAAACAGTAAGTTTGTGATCTATCAAATCTCCCCACAATCGATCAAAACTCCCCATGAAGTTGTAAAGATTTGAATCCATTTAATTTGTAAAGATTTTCACAAATTTGATAAATATATCACTGAAGTTGTAAATATTCTCACAAATTTGGTTAATATACCACTAAAGTTATAAATATTTCCACAAATTTGGTAAATATTTTCACAAATTTTTTAATTTTATTCACTACTGTTGTAAAATTTTCACTAATGTTGTAATTTTGTTTACTATAATCCTAAACTTCCCATTAATGTTGTAATTTTGCCCTCATTGATTTAATGGTAGCTAAAAAATATGTCTTGTCTTGTCATTTCAATGTCTTATCTTGTCTATTAATCGGTGTAAATATATCATCAATTTAGTAAACATTCCATTAATGTTGTAATTTGGAATTTTCGGTTAGGTACCGAAAATGCCCTTGGATGTACCGTAGCCTTCTCCTTCTACTAATACCATCTGACATGTCATTTCAATGTCTTGAAATGTCTACCAAACCAGTACCAAACAAGTTATCGGTTTACTCTTTGTCAATTTTTTTTTTTAAAAGATACATTAATCAGCGCTTCACTTTTGGTCTACCATAGATCAACGGTGGACATTGAATTTTGGTATGGTACCAAAATTCTCAATGGATGTACCGTAGTCGGGTCCAAACATACCATTAATGTTGTAATTTGGAATTTTTGGTTAGGTATCGAAAATGCCCTTGGATGTACCGTAGCCTTCTCTTTCTAATAATATCATCTGACATGTCATTTCATTGTTTTGTCATGTCTACCAAACAAGTTGTCGGTTCATTATTTGTCAATATTTTTTTTTAAAAGATACATTAATCAACGCTTCACTTTTGGTCTACCATAGATCAACAATGGACATTGAATTTCGCTATGGTACCAAAATTTTCAATGGATGTACCGTAGTCGGGTCCCCCAGTCAATAGCCAAGTCACAGCCCAATCAACAAGCCTTAGTCACCATGTTGACCAATCAATGCGCCACCTAACATCCACATTAGCGCGAGCATCAGCTTATTCATTAGCCTACCGCATTGACTTGACAAAGCGCCACATGGATAGCTACGTTGACCAATCAATGCCCATAATTTTTTTTCTTTGTAGTGATCAATGCCAATGAAAAAAAAATTGGTGACAATTATACGGATTTCGACAATCACAAGTGGTACATGGTGGAATCGAACTCCCTACTTCAAAACTTTTCCAAGAACGAAAATACCTAGGTCTCGACAACGGGGTATGCACATAGTGACCATCAAAGGAAGACCCATGCATGCAGGGACCAAGGGCCAACTGACCACAACAATACTTTCAACAATGGAGAAATAATGATAAAAGACTCGAGTCCACTTTATATATATATTTTTTGCTTTTTAGCAACACCACGATCGGCGCACAAACAACAAATATAACCAATCGATAAGTGTAGAGAGACTACGGTGTGCATGCATAAGATGATTCCTGCAACCTAACACATGCATAGACAAATGTAGTATCCCATAAATTCAGAACACATATCCACATCATGAAGGGACAAATGACAAGAGTTGATAGCTACATGACAGTGGCGCCCAACAAGATCCAGCATAAATGGGTATGAGTCACAGTTCCACGATAGGACCTACTATTGTGGCATGGCCACGACATCACCCTAGTGCCATGGCAAGCGCCTAGCGCTATAGGCAAGACACATCCTCATCACATTGAAAGTGTCAAAACAGACCCTTGACTAAAAATAGACAAGAGTGGTATCGCGGAGGATTGGGGGCAACCTTGGCATGACAGGCCTCCCCCGCTACAAAAACAGGGCACAAGACTGGGATTGCACAACCGATGAAATTGGTATCCTTAGCTTATTGGACACTGTTGCTTTACTAGCCCCATTGGACTAAGAGGAGGGGTCCCCACCTAGGGACATGGTAGTATGACCTTCCTCAAGGGATGATAAAGCAACGGGGGCAGACGAGCATGATTGTCAACCTTAGCATGGGAGATGGTCTCAAAGATTTAGTCTGCTCGAGCTACCCTTACAATGTATGCTTGATTGCACACTATGATATGTTTAACTGGGATCTGGGGGGACTCTTAAGTTAAGTGGAGTTATTGGTCTGGATCAACATATAGGATAATGGGATATGTGAATTGGTGGCTAAAAGAACAAAACTATGTGAGTTTCTTCTATTGGGTTTATTAACAAAGGTCTTGAGGAAGGGGTTAAAGAGGGAAGGGAGGATCCTGAGTAGGAGCACGCTGGGGGTATTGTGTGCATGGCCTTCTCAAGATCATGGTCTCGCGATGACTAGTCGAGATTATTAATTTTGGGAGCTCCCTTTTGCTTGGGCTGTCGCACTTCTCTACGAAAGATGTGTCCAAGCTATGTTTGGGAAAATATCATATTTGCCTAGTTAATGTTTGAAAACGTGGCTCGCAGTTAGTAGTTACTAATATTGTTGTAGTCGAGGCAATTATGGGTTGATGTGAGAGTCAAAGGGTCACGACAAGTAGCACTTCAGGCAAGCCAACCTTTCTAGGCACAGTGTTATAAATACCTGCATTACTTTCCAACTGCAGGAGAGAGATTTTGACTTAACTGATGAGAGCATTTGCTCCACCTATCCTCTATCCAACTGGTTGGCCATTTCGTTAATTGACTACTTGAGTTTATTCCATCTCACACCACTTATCGTACTCACCCCTTTCAATTATCCTTGACATAGGCACGTTTGTTAGTCTCTTTTAACTCTCCATTTACATTCATAAAGGATTATGAATTATTTCAATCGGTTATTGTGACATCCCTAAAACTGGGGGTCATTATTAAATCTGTTGACCACCTGTTAACCCGCAAAAATGTCCGTGAGTGCCACATAATCCGACACCACGTCAATAGTATCCCTTGATCCGGAATTTTAACCTACACATGTAACCCGTGTGTA